GAAAGCTGTATACCTGAGGATTCATCCTGCCACTGAGACACTTCTGTTCACCATTCTGGTTCGACTACGTGACTTCTAGAACTAGGGCTGACTCCTTGAGATTACTCAGCCTAGATGTATCCTCATATATCGGTGTCCCCTCCACCGCAGCACAGCAGTTTTGCTGCTAGTTTTATGATACCATGGCCGTGCTTAATGGGTGCTGTAAAGTCATCCAGGTGTCTTCCACTGTGTACTTGGTGCTGGTTAAGTGCATAAGCAAGCAGTGCTAAGAGCATCAACTAGCCACTAGCATTGCATGCTACTGCTTGCATGTTTTTCTTTTCAGAGAATGGTCATCCCCTGTCCTTTTAGCTGTATTGAATTTTTTTCCTGTAAATAAGCAGCAACACAATTGTTTGTAAAACTCATTCTGTCAGGCGCATCCACAGGGACGTGGGGCTTTATTAAGCAACCATGTTTTATCTTTCCAGTTCCCACTATGGTGGGAGGGCCCATGTAGCCCATGTCACCTCTGGAGTTGCCTCTATAGACAGACCCCGCCAGGCTGTCAGTCTTGATGGCAATGGAGGCAGCAGGCTGGCAGACTGCCTTGTCGCATTTTTGCCATGTTAAAAACAGCCACAGTGCAACTTATTGAATTACTGAAATAGCACAGATATTTTGTTGTTTTCTAATATGTGCTGTGATACAGCAGTGCTTGAAGTGGCTAAGCAAAGAGTTAATGCCAAATTAAAGTCTGGATCTGATGAGAGTGGTGTGGAGGAATCTCCTCTGCGATCTAGAATTTTATGGCCATTCTTCAAAGATTATTTCTTTCTAAAGCATTCCCTGACTATTGCCTTTGTTATCCAGGGCTGAAGCCTGTGTGATTTCACTGATATTTCATAATGACCTGACTGACAGTGCTAGGAATTGGGCTTCTGCAGCTTGGGTACAGTAGAAGCTGCACAATAGTTTCTTTTCATTAATGAAAGAAGAAATCTCTTGTGCTTATAACTGTTGTGTCTGGTTTTGGAATACCTCCAACATATCTGTATGCCTTGGCTAGGGTGGGAGATCATTGGTGCCTTGTACTATACTTAGAACTGCCTTCATAAGATTCTTTTCTTGATATACTGTAAGTGAAAAAGTTTTCAGCCTGCTCAGTTCTCTTTAAAGTCATTGGCTTGTTCTCTTGTATGTGAAGTCTGTGTTTGTTGCTTTGAAATTTCCTGTTGGGAATTTATTGTCACAGGGCATCATGCCAGTTATGCTGCTTTCAGGGCTGGGGTTCTAGCAAATGAATGGAGCCTGACACTACTCACTCACAGCCATTACCACCAAATGTATGAGTATTCTTCTGGTTTAGCATTCATACTTAAAGAAAAATGTTAGTGTTAGGACATGCTGAGGCTGGATGCCTCAAGAATTTTAAAGACAGGGTTCATAGCAAGCAGAATCACAGCAGTACCTTATGTCCATTTTATTTGTCATTGCCTAGTTTGACACTGCTCTCAGCGGAACAGGATGCTATGCTGTTGTGCTGGAGGGATTTGCCAGGTCGGTGGGGTGCAGGAGAGAAGACAGGGAGGTTATCCTTTGTGCTTGCTTCTGAGATCTTGTCATCATCTGAGCTCTAAAGATCTAGTGGCCAGGGAGGTATTTTGGTGGATAGGGCTGTCTTTCCCCACTATTTCCTTCCATGTTTGCTTCCACGTGTGCTGTTACAAGCATACGTTCTGATTTCTGTGGAATAGGCAGCAATGGTTTGTTGTGCTGCGCATGCAGTGACTGGCTTTGGTTGAGCTACCTTTGCAATTGATGTGTCTTGGCTACAGGTGGATAGTTAAGTTCCTCTGTTTCCTACATGAAGATATTCTTTTATCTGGAAGTTTATGATGTTAATTTAAGGGGGGGAAAGGGGGTGGAGTTGCAGAGTGGGAGGTTTGTTAAAATGAATAATCTATTGTCACATCTGGACCCTAGTTTTTTGATAAGCTCATACCTGTTAGCAGATATGAACCAAATGCCTGCCTTAATACATCAGTCCTGTTGACTGCCTACTTTTCTGCTTACTGGATTAATTAGTTCTAATGGGAAGGTAAAACCTTATCAAGTTTTTTTCAGCAATAACCATGGCAAAGGATTGTTGAATAAGAGTCAAGACAATGGTGGTTCCACAAAGCCTGTCAGCTGCTATCAGACTGGAATGGTTTTCTGTTATTCAGGTCTTCTAAGGCAGTTTATGTAAGTGAGGTTTGAACACTGTGTACATAAGCTAATGTATGGAAGCTGAAAATAATATGGAGATATGGTCCATGTTTGCTTATCACTGGATTGGGGAATGTAAAGAAGCAGTTTAGAAGGTGACAGCTCTATTCTGAGGTAGAGAGGCTTCTGAATGGTTTCTGTCATATGATTATGTAGTTACAGAGCAAAAGCACTTTTTCCCCAGAATGCTCTGGATCCTTCAAGCAGGAGCAAACAATTTTCTCTTTCCCCTTTCTTGACTGCTACCATTGACAATAATATCTCTATCATGAATAGCAACATTGGAAATGTTTGGCTCTGGAATGAGGCCCCAAGTACTCAGCAGTTGGTAGCAAGGATAGCCAGAATGTTTTGCAGGGAGAAGTCATTCAGCACTTTTTTAACCTAACTATCACTTTTTCAGTGTGTTTTCATAATTTATTTTTTTCTTCTGGAAAATCAGAACAGCAGCATAAGCAAGCTTGTATAATAGGGCTATTCAGCTAAAGAATGCTATGCACGTGGGGGTTTATGGAGTACTAACATCTCTTCCTTACTGTGCCTTGGTTTTTGCTCTCTGCTGCAGTGTGGGGAAGATTCATGTCCTGAATGGCTCTGCAGAATGGCTCCAGCTAGCTGACCACCTGTGATGAGATGCAGGGAGTCCAGTGCTGTGCAGGGACTGGTGTCTGCCTGGCTGCAGCCCTGCCTCCTGATAGCTGCTCTGGTCACATCTTCACATGTAATGTGGGAAGGTGCTTGGTCCAGCCCTTTTTCTTGCTGCTGCAGCAGCAATTTTGCATGTCCAGGAAATATAGTTATTCTCTCTTCAGTCACACACATGCTTATCCAAACAGCTCGGACCTAAAGCTCTGAAAAAACTCAGTATATCAAAAAATGTGATTTGCTTGCTGACAGCTCAGCTGGAGAAGCGGGAGTCCTGATAAGAAATGTCTCCTCTAGTGTGGCTGGGTTAGCAAATGAAGCCGAGGGTGAACTGTATAGTGTTTTTTATTAGTCGGATCATAGCTCCTGGCCAGTGCCAGATGTTGTTCCACCTCAACAGATGAAGAATCTGCCTCTACGCAATCATAGTGTGTTACTATATAAGCGATTTGGTCAAACAGCTTGGTCAAATATTAGGGATTTTCTCCACCAAATACAGCAGGTATTTATATAAGTCCCTGCTGGGGTCTTAATGCCTAAGCCAAAATCAAAATCAAGCACACAGCAGAAAGTAAAAGGGAAGCATGTCCCTACTCTATTTTTAATGCCTTGGAATGAAAGAATTCCCCACCTTTCTTTTTTTTAAACGTGTGTCCTCTGTGAAAAATCATCCTCTTGTTTCAACTGTAATTTGCTTTATAAAAAGGTGACAATTTGACCTGTTTGCACACAATTACTAATGAGGGTGGCAAGCTCATTTCTAGTGTCCTTCTTGCATGGTTAGAGTGAAGGACTGTACAAATGCCATTTCTGATCAAAGGTGATCTGTTACACATTTTAATTGTATGCTAGCCTAACTATTACTGTGAAAATCATTGCCCAGAATTAGAGGCTGAAGGTGATCATGCTGTGTAATCCCCAGTGGGGGAATGACAGGTTAGGGAAAAAAGAATAGCTTTTCATTGCTAATAATCTTGGACTGATTCCTTTGGCTTTAGGTTCCAATGTATTCACAGTATGTGTTTTCATGGCAAACAACCTCTAGTCCACTAGTCCAGTCTACTCATCCTGCTTCCTTTGATACCTCTGACCAAATATTCCTCTAGAAAAATGTTGCAGATTACTTCCTGCAAGGTGCTACAACAGGAATGCTGGCCGCTAAGAGTGTCTCATAAATAACACAGACAGCTTCAGCTTCCTCAAAAGAAAATTCTGTGGAGTTTGGTCCTTGAACAACACAATGTGACCTCAGTAATAAAATGTAAAACCCATTTTTTTGGCTTGTACAAGCCAATGATCTAATGATGGCTCAGGCTCTCTTCCATGCTGTCTGGGAAAACAGTGCTTGTTTTTAAGTCCAAAAGCAAGGGAAAGGTAAATATATTTGAAGGATAACATAATTTATTTCTTCCTTGCAATTTCAATGACTTCAGCCTTCCTTTGTATTTTTAACGTAGAATACATTCACATAACTCTGATCACATTTAAAGTAGCAGAAACATCAGCTTTAAGCAAAAACAATGCCTGTGTTTTATTTCCTCTGACTGCTTATCAAAGCATTCCATTTAATCTTTTCAAGTCTTGATTTCCACCCCCACCCCCTTTTCTACTGGCAGTTTCAGTCCTGGGGGCAGCTGCAGGGGAGGCAGCAAGGAAGAGAGTGAAGCCTTCTGATGTACTTTATCCAGTTACCATTGTTATACTGTGTACTTAATAACATACTAGAGATTGTGCTTAGGTGAGATGGTATAATGGTTTGATGTTGTTGCTATGTACAAATGTGATCTGTGCTTCTTTACTGTAACAGTACAGTCTATCTACCTCTGCTTGCCGCTGATTTTAGCATTTCTGTTCTGCTTGACTCTTTGAAGCCTGCAACTACCAAGAGAGATGTATTTTTCCAACTTCTGCAATATAAGCCTGTAAAGGTTCAAATATGACAGTTAGATGTTGTTTAAAAAGTTCCCTGCTCATACATAAGACATGGACTTTTTAAAACAATGTGCTCTGTCTGTACACAGAAGTTTTGTGTTACTTCAGTCACAGCATTAGATAGAGTGCTTGCAACTGGTTTGCTTTTTCTCTTCCTGCTCTCTCTGCAGTGCACATATATTGAGATTGAGCAGGTGCCGAAGACTCACGCTGTTGTGCTGAGCAGGCCTTCCTGGCTCTGGGGGGCAGAGATGGGAGCGAACGAGCATGGAGTCTGTGTAGCTAATGAAGCCGTCGTAACCAGAGAACCAGCTTCTGAATCTGAAGCCTTGCTTGGAATGGATCTTGTCAGGTGGGTGGCTTACCAAGCTGTGACCAGCCTTTCAAACACCAAGGATTAGATGGTAATGATACTAGATAACAGCTTTGTGGCAATGATATCGGGAGATTTTAAAATTATATAAGCAGACCTGTCTAGACAGAGCTTCAGACACAGCTGAGTTAACACTTAAAATACTTTGAATCTGAGTTTGGCTCCCAAATATGTACTAGTCTAATGGAGGTTCATTAAACCTACCTTGTCTATGTACCTTATAGTCTAGAAGTGGCTGTTCTGACAAGATAAGAGATACGATTCCATTGTTAGCAAAGAACTGCTAACTGATTTGTGAAATCGGATTGCTGGTGTGTCCTTCATTCTCCCCCACGTTACAACAGCCTACTCTGACCTGAAAAGCTTATCCTGGGCTTATAGCTAACTGTAGGCATAAACAGGCGACTATGTCTCACTTCAGCCCATGCATTCCAATGTAAACCATTGCCCTTTTTTAAATGCTGGCAAACTCCTGTAAGTCTCTTCATTGAAGGCTGGCTGCCTAAAAGGCTTGTGCTGCACTGTAAGCCTCAACCTGCATGCTGATCTTGTAGTGAGAGAATTTCTTGTAGGAGAGTTGGGTGGGAGAAGAAAGCTGAAAATGAAAGAACAAGAGAAAATGGGGCAGACAGTACAAAGAGAAAGGGAGCAAACAGACTCAGTTAAAGATAGGACAGTGAAGCATGAAATCAGATTCTACAACTCAGACTTATAAGGCAGGTATGTTTATTATGGCGCCGGGTGCAAGGGGGATCGCTCCTCCTAACTTGCACACCGAGGGGTTAAGCAAGCAGATATTTATTACACACAAACATGCATGTTCATTAGGTTCCCCAGAGTTCGGTGGGGATATTACAATTAGTTTAGGTACTCATTATCATAAGTCTCCCCCCCTTTTGGCGCTTGTGTACTGCCCCCCAATGGTCGAAGGTCATGGGCAGGGGTCTTCAAGATGAAGTAAGTAGTCTTCCTCATGTGGGCAGGGGTCTTCAAGATGAAGTAAGTAGTCTTCCTCATGTGGGCAGGGGTCTTCAAGATGAAGTAAGCAGTCTTCCTCAGAGTGCACTTTTCACCTTTGGCACAGTTGGATGCCCCAGTAATCACCAGTTAGCTGACACCAACTGTATCTGCAAGTTTCTGATAGCTGGCAAAGATTTAAAACAGTGCAACCTTCGTCTACAGAATTTACTGCCTCCCAAGTTAGCAGATGTTTGGGAGTCACTGTCTCCAAACTAACTGATAATTAGAAGGATGGTAAGAAGTACTTCACTTACTAGAAGGATGAAAGGAAACAGTTCACTCTTGTTAGTAAGACTACTAAGTTCTGTTATCACACCACAGACTTGCAACACAAACATTGTTCTCTATCTTAGATATAAGTTAAAAGTATCTTAACCCTATGTTTTCCAGGCACTTGCTTTCCCTATATCAACAGGACAACTGCTTGTTTAAACGAATCAGTGTTAGACCCAGTGGTCCTGCTGACATTTGCCTTAGGGTATTTGATGAGTGGGCTGAACCAATTTCAGGTGAATGCACATTTTTCTTGAAACTAGTGAAAGATGAAGGACGCTCTGGATGACTGGAAAAGGTTAAATGTTGTGGATATGCTTAATAGGGTTAAAAAGAGTTGTGGTTATAGACAGGTTATAAACCAGTGGTTATTAACCACTGTTCCTGAAGGGGAGAAAAACCACTTAAATATCAATGAGTTGATAAATATGCTATAATAATTGTTAGTAAAGAAAAATCCTGTTGGACCATTCTGATTTATTCCTGCTATAGGTTAACAAATTTTATGAGTAGAGGATAGGAAATAGATACCTGACTTTTAAGAGGGCATTAAAACCTTAGAAGGTATTCTCATAAGCAAGCTGGGATGCATGAGTTACAAGAAATTATCGTTAGGTATATAGGTGCCTGAAACGGTAATTGTAGATGTTCTTTAATGGTGTCTCTGCAGAAATACAGTATCTGGTTCCAGCTACCATTAAGCAAGATGACCATGAGCCAGTTGGAGAGAATGCAGTGGAAATGGGAAATATGATCTAAGATCTATAGGATCTGGCCAGTGTGAAAGTCATGAGGAAATTTGGGTTATGCTTCTCTTTGGTGTTTTCTCTAAACTCTGTATTATAGAAGGAATCTTTATTTTCTCCCTCCTACTACCATTCTTCTAAAACTTTAACAAAGCATTACTTCAGATGCAGAGTTCTGCTTATTTTTGTCATAGTTATTGCAGTCTCGAAATACTTTTTAACATTCAAATATATAGGTTGTCCAGCGTCTCTAGGTTTACCCACCTAGCAAATCAGGAGATCTCAAAATAAGGAGAAACTGGTAATAAACTGTGAGTGAACATCATGTGTTGATATTACATTCTCTCTATTCCTTTTTATCTGCAGATGAAATGGTCTGTAGCTCAAATGCAGGGTGTGCTTCAGGCAAGGAGAACTAGAGATATGTTGCAGACTACCATCTGCTGCTTGTTCCAGCCAAAGTGATTCTTTTTCTTACTGTGAAGACTTGGCCAGTTGCATTAAGCTTATCTGTTTTGGATCACCTCATAGAATAGAGAGCCATCAAGTACAAAATCAGTCATATTGCCTGCAATGAAGCAGCTGGCATCAGCTCTGCCTCTTTTTACCTATCTGAGAACAGGCTAATTCTGTCACTCAGGATTTACTGGAATAAAAATAAAGCCTAATTAAGAAATGCACATCTCTGCTGGCCAAATTTTTCTCACACCTATGTATGTGTTTGACTTCTGTATCTGTGTCAGACCTTAGTGAAGGATGAAGATTGATATTCTGTGTGTGCATGTATGACTAGCTGTTAGCTAAAGAAACATAAAGATTTATACTCTGAAACATGTTCTTCAGAGTTGTCAACCCAGGAATGTCATCCAGGTAATAGAATGAAATTTTACTTGACTGCTCAGGCTCCCCTAAGAGTTTGTTTCTGTGTTTTCTTAACCTGATTATTCTTTTTCTCTAGGGGAGTCTTCCTCTCTCTTGAACTGATTTGGAATTGTCACTTTTCAGTTAGGATTTAAAACCCAGCCAATATGGGCAAAGGCTGTAGGTGGGTGTTGGGAGAGCACATGGCATTGAACAGATCAGAGGCATCTTTCAGCAGGGTAGTATAGTTCTGAAGTCAGCTTGTGTTGTTGAAATAGGAAATTGAAAATTCATCTTGCAAGTTCATAGGCAAAGGATTTTTTTCAGTAAAGGTCACAATGCACATCAGTAAAGATGTATTTCACAAAGTTTTTAGCTTGTTTAGCAACTGAACTCCTGGCTTAATAACTGAAAAGTGTGTTACCCTGAACACTGATGTATCTGAGGATTTACAGTTTTGCTTATGCCGGTACAGTTAGAACAGGACAACATTATCATACAAAAAGCATATATGAAGAAAGCTGTAAATTACACCCTTATTTTTGTATTGTTGACTTACTTTTTAATCCCTGTGTGTTTGTATTATTTCTTAGTTCCTCTCATTGCTGGTGCAGCCACTTTTTCAGAGCCGCAGAGACTCTCTTGGCAAGGAGTCAAGAATGCTCTTTAAAATTGTATTAATTTGTTTACCAATTTCGTTCCTTAGAGACATCAGAACTGAATAAAATAGAATGTCATCATGTATGTTACTGCATTGGGAAAGTTGGCATCTCTAACTGAGAAATTAAAAAGCTTAAGATAATGTTTTGACAGTGTGATAGCATATTGGAGGTACTGAGGCAATGGATTGCACGAAGTCACTGAAATTTTCTTAATGAATAATTCAAGCTCTCATCTGGGGGTAAAATTACTTAAATTTTTTTCCAGCTCACCTTGAAGGGTACTTTGAAATGTGGTAGTGGGAGGGCTATGCTGCAGTTACCCAGGACACCAATGCAGAGATAAGTGGCAAGACCTATGCTTTTGTGGAGATGAGCTGTGTGGTTGTGTAGGATGGGTTTTTGCTGTCCTTTGTGACTAACAGATAGGAGCACCCAAACAAAAGCGGAGTCTAGGCCTTTGTTAAATGGAAGTAAATGTAACATTGGAGCCATTTGCAAAAAAAAAAAAAAACCTGAAAGATTTCTTCAGCCTGAATACCTGCTGTAGTTTTGACAGAGAAAGGTAGACCATAGCCGTCTCAGAGGGATAATGTCAGGGAGACGTTATTAAAAGTTATGACATTATGCCTCTTGTCAGGTTTGGATCTAATTATAACCTGATGCTTTTGGTCATTAACTGGGGAGAAGGGAGCAGATTATCAATGAACCTAGTGACTATATGGTCACTAAGGTAGTTGTCAGCCCATTCGTTGACCTGTGGCAGTGACAGCTGTTTGAATTGCTCTTGGGGAATAAATCACACATGCTTTTGGATAGGCTTTTAAATGATTTCTGTGTTACATGCTAGGACTGGCAACTCTGTATTGCTCTTAAAAAAGTGACTGCACCAGTGATGGAAAGAATGGAGGAATAACAAGAATGTATAGGAACTAAAAATCGAGACAACAATACAGAACAAGTTTTAGCTAATACAAGAAACAAGAGGGAACAACTATAAATGCAAAGTAAGATGATGATGGGGGAGAAACTGTCACTGTAAGTTAGGACCTAAAATTCTAGTTGGTTCTCCTTTGTTATGAAGTGATAAACAGATGCTGCTGAGAGAGATGAAAACACTGCTTTCAATCATTTAACCTAAACGAAGGTTAATGGTGGCCAGCTATTTAACAAAGCAGGCCCAGTGCAGAGATCAGATAGAAAAGTACTTAGATCAGCAAATTTTATCCAAGTTATCAGGAGCTGATTTGTGTACTGTAGTTTTTAGGAAAGAAACAGTAGTGTCTTCTTGTCATGTGATTTCCAGGGAAATCATAGAATGGTTTGCGTTGGAAAGGACCTTAAAGGGCTAGCATAGCACTTACATTTAAAAAGGTGAATTTCTTGGAGCTATCCATCAGTCAAAATGACTTTGTCCATAGAGCTATCAGATAAACAAAGCAGAAAATATTAAGGTGACATAACCAACAGGGAGCAATGTTGGACTGATCCAGGTAATTGTCCTAAAGGACAGAGGCATGGATATTCTGTTGCTTGAAATAACGCATTTCCTCATTAGCAGTAATTACATTTTGGTGTGGAATTGTTTAAAGGTCTGATTTAGACTTTTCTAGTTACTGCTTTCATTGATTGACTTGGTTAGGGCTGTAAATTATATCTAGGGGTTATTTCATCCAATTTATTCAAGTCAGGGTACAGTAATTCCTTATAGCTTCATAGACCCTATTGTTCTTCAGCTTTCTTTTCCCTAAAATACCCTTGATTTGCTCAAACTTCCTTTTAAAATTGTGTTCTTTTAGACATATGGTTAATTTTAGTTCAGATGAAAGCCGTACCTGGTGTTAAGAGGCTTGTTTTTTTTGGGGAAGCCTCTGCAGGAACACTGAGCATGACTGTGCAAAAATGCTTCTGACTACAGTGTGCGTTATGCATGCAAGGATAACATACATCTAGCTTTGATGGCCAAATGAATATTGGAGCATTGGGAAAGAGAAGTTGTACAGAGATTTTAATACTGCATACCTCTTCCATTTTTTGTTCTCTGGTAATATTGATTTGCAGTTCCCCACTCTCTGTACAGCTAAGTAAGCTTGCATACAGCTGTTACTTTAAAAAGACCTTTGCAAATTATCCTTTAAATTTATTCTGCCTGGGGCAGGGATAAATAGAGCATTGTGTGTCTACAGCATGGTTGAGGTCATTGGTTGGTAGTTGACTTCTTTAAAAACTAAAAACCAGCTACGGCAGGCATCAGAATGAAAAAGCAGTGTAGAAAATAAAGGCTTGAAATAAATTATATCCTCTAATATGTCATCCTGTAATTCCAGTAACTCATTAAAGCAGGAATTCTTACACTAGGCATACCTGACACTTCATTATTTTTAAACCAGATCAATGCTGATGTTTAAAATCAATAATTTATGGAGACCTCACTGCTATATTTCTGTCCGAATCTCAGTTTTTCCCTTTTCTTACAGACTTGGTCTAGAAAGAGGAGCAACAGCTAAAGAAGCATTAGATGTAATAGTTGCTCTGTTGGAAGAGCATGGACAAGGTGGAAATTATTATGAAGATGGGAGCTCATGTCATACTTTCCAAAGTGCATTTTTGATCGTAGACAGAAATGAAGCCTGGGTACTGGAGACTTCTGGAAAATACTGGGCAGCAGAAAAAATCACAGGTCAGTATCACTCACAGCAAACCTTCCCTATTATAAAGAGCTGTGAGAATTGTTTTTGATGAATTGGTCCTATAAAGTCAGAGTTTAAGTAAGTGACCGGTTTATGCAAGTGTTTGATTAAATAATTGATTTTAACCTCCTGTATTTGTACTATTCTTTTTTTTTTCTTTTTTTTTAAATGGTGATTCGTATTAGCTGATGTAACAGCATTTTCTGTGAACCTGGGGATTGTTACCTGTATACCTCAGCTATGTAATAATCATGCTTAGATTTTTGCCTTTGGTAAGTGTTGTATTTTCCTAGATTTATTTACTGTTTGGAATGTGTCACATGTCTTTCTGATGCAGTTAATGCCCAAATTGGTACTTAAAAATCGAAAATATTAAGGAAGGATAAGCATTGATAGCTTTGAGAAAAGGGCTTGTGTTAGGAGGTACATGGAACGGGCTGCTGCTGGTTGCTTTAATGCAATAGATAGAGTCCCCTTATATCACCACTTATTCTTTGATACTGCAGAACAATGCTTTTCTGCTCTTTAAACTTGTAGGTGGTTTCTTCTTCTGTAGGTGTGAAGCCAGAGCTGCCAAACTATCTTCTAGATTTCACTGGCTTGGTGGATGAACTTAATTAAAACTTAGCTGGCAAATATTTGCTGTCTTAATATAAACAAGTTCTCGGGTTTTATATTTAATTTATTATCAGTTGTTGGTTTTGGTTTTGAAGGAATTTTTATTTTCATAAGAGTAGAGCTTTTTAAAATTTATTCATGTTAGAACAAACTAAAAATTCAGGTAACTTGAAAGGATTTTTATCATCCATGCTTTGAGCTGTGGCAGGTACATTGAATTCGGTTTTCATTTCCCCTTCAATGAAAGGTAGGACATAGCAGATATGGGGAGGTGGGAGGTTTAACTTCGGAAACCCCAAAGCAAAGAAATAGCACCAGGCTGTGTAAAGTTGTGTGATGGCCTATTGTCAGTTCATGCCATCAAAAGCGAATCAACTTACCTTAATGGGGATGGTGTTTTCCCAAGCAAAGCTTGCATTTTAAGGAAACCTACAGGACAGAAGTCCTCCAGCACAAACAGATACAAGACATAGGGGAGGGAAGAATGATAATGCTGTCCTCAAAGTCCAAATTCTGCAGAGCAGTTGGCTCCTGAAGTTCCTGGGGTCATGCAGTGACATCCTGCTGCCTCCTGTTGACATACCTGGCTGATACTTGAAGAATAGTGGTTTTTACTAGCCTTTTTAGCTGCATCCAGCAATACGTAACCTTCACATCGTTCTTCCCAGCAAATATACTGCTGCTTGCAGCTTTTTGAAATGACACTGTAGCTCTGTTCTGATTTTACCAGTGCATTTCTCTTCAGGAGGTCCTTTTAAGCTGCAGATAAGTAGTTTCTATCCCCTGCAGTCTGCTGAGCCTGCCAGGCTACTGGCTATGCAAGAACTCTGTATTTCATAGTTTGTTCAGGGGGTTCTTTGCAACCATAAGTGTATCTCTTAGGCTTTCAAATGACTGCACAAATGCTGCTAAAACAGGGAAAATGTGTCATTCCCCAGTGTGAAGGCGTTTGTTGGGTTTTTTTTCTGATTCTGTCATCATTGCTGAAGTTCTGTAAAGCTTATAGTGAATATTTTTCAAGCAACTCTCTTACAGTAATTTAAGGATAAACACTTTTACAATCCTTCCTATTACTGCTCTTCAGTCAGAGTGGAAATATTTATTTGCTTGATAAATTTTCATTTCTTGAAGGTGATAAAACCCATGAAATATTATTTTACAGATGTTACTAAATGTAATATTTAAAGAGCTCTTAAGGAATGGCTTGCCTAGCTTGATACGAACACAAATATTCCTATCACTCAAGTCAAGAAATTCAAGGAAGAAAGGTTTCCTGTTTGGGAGTGTAAATCAGAACGATCTCTCAGTGACCCTGGTAAAAGCTGGAACTGAATGACAGTGACTTTTTGCAGGCCGATGCAGAGAACTTCCTACTCTAAATTATTAGTCATTATTTAAATTGCATGCACAAGGCATTACAAAAGCAAGCTTACTTTTGTAGAAGGCAGTGTAATAGCTGTCACAAATACTACTTTGGTTTCTGTTTAAGAAAAAGTTTGTGCTGAATTCCAGAATCTGGTTTTGTTTTAGTTTAGAGATTTACTTTATCAGGTCTTTCTCTGGCTTCCAATGCATTTGCTTTATGCTCTCTGAGGAGTATCTGCAGCAGCCACCATTAGTCATGCTGTAGGTATATGGATATAAGCACTGCAGTGTTTTTGAGCAAAGCAAATTAAAAGACCCTTTAATATTCTTTGAAGGCTACTTACACTTTCTTTTTAATTCATGCCATTTTAAAATTTAAGATTTAAAATTAAGTTCAATTTAAGCCCATCTTGCAACTAAGAGTAAATTTTTTTTTAAACTGGGAAGCTTAAAGCAATTGGTAAGCTTTTAAAACCATCTTCCAAATCAAATTTTCAGTTTAGGAGGGCAAGGAATTTTTGTGAAACTAAATGCAGTCAGATCTCGAGCCTTGTTGTGGCAATGGAATACACCATTGGAGACAAGAGTAGGTATATTTGGAAACCACTGTAATTTCGTGGTCAGAATGTGAGAGGTCCAGATTGTGAAACTGGTATTCTGACTAAATACCACTACTAATCAGAAGTCAGTGTAAATATCTAAGTAGGGCACATATAATTGAGCTCTGCAACCTGCAGTGATTGGTAATTCTGTGTGTGTGTAGCTGTGTAGTTATGCAGCCATGGCAATGTACATCCTAACCAATGGTTTATTTTGTTTCCTAATTGAAATTAAATTGTCCTTCCAGCTTCTCCCAGAAAACTGTATTAATGCTTTAATACGTGACTCTTTCTACAGAGGGGGTAAAATGCATTTGCAATCAGCTTTCATTAACTACAAAAATTGATGCTGAGCATCCTGAACTAAGGGATTACGTGAGAAGTCAAGGCTGGTGGAATGGAGACTCCGACTTCAATTTTTCTGAAGTGTTCTCTCTCAGTGATGACCATTTAGCCTGCTCTTCTGGCAGGGAGAGCCTAGAAAAGCAAAGTGGTAAGTGTTGAATCATTCTCCTGTATATGCGGTGGGAGTTTTAGTCACTGCTGTCCCTTTTCACTGCTGTCCCTTTTCAGGCATTCTGTCCAGAACATGTAACTGGGAGTGCCTCTACGTGTGAACGATGTGGAGAGAAAAACCAGAGCTGAAGACTGTCCCTAAACTTGCCACAGTTTAGGATGAAGCACTAATGTCCCCCTCAAGTTTAATGCTTTAACCCAGGGTTGAAATTATAAAATAAGTTTCTTCCCAGTTGTTCTGATGTGCGTGGTGTGCCACTGCGTTTGTGCTTTGGTGTAATTATAGTGACCCTACCTGCTGTAACACCCTGTGAATATACTCAGCCTAAAATCCTTACCTGGAGTCCAAGCCATTGAACACTCAGGAATTCTTTCCCCCCCTCCATATAGGTGACGTTTCTGCACAAGCCATGATTGATGTCCTGCGTGACAAGGACAGCGGTGTCTGTGTGGACTCTGAATCTTTCCTTACTACAGCTAGCATAGTGTCTGTTCTGCCTCAGGACCCTAGTTTTCCCTGTATTCACTACTTCACTGGCACGCCAGACCCTTCAAGGTAAGCCACAATTATGGGGTTCCTTGAGGGCAGAGCAGGTAGTGGGTTGAAAGATATTAAACCCTGCTACCCAAATTGGAGCATGCTTCGAGAGCGTGTTCTAATCAGAAATGCAATCAGTAGTTGGTGGTGTGTAATCTGACAGTCCTGTGTTATTGAGCTGCATCTTGCTGCAATTCTAAATGAGCGCCACTGGGCTGAAAGGCCATAGCTGGAACTTTGCCTTAATTCAGAGCTTCTAGAGTAAATACAGCTCAGAGAGGTCCCAGGAACTACTACTCCAGCCTAGTTGCTTTCCAGTGGGTTCTTGTTGAGATGATGAGGTTGTAGATGATTTTAGTCACCTCTCTTGAACAAGTGGGTGCAAAGCTGAAATAAATAAAGTGTCTAACTAGCGAAGAGGGGATGTGTATTCTAGGTAGCCTTGCATGGCATCTAAACGTTACCTGGGACTTGCAGATGTTTCTCTGTTATCCCAATTATGTTTTTTATTGGAGGGACAATTTCCAGTTGGTTTAAATGATGTTATTCAGGAGATCTGCAACTTGCATTCAGTTAAAGAGGTTATGGAGAGAAGAAAATGGCACCCTTGAACAGCTGACAGTCATTCCTGTAAGAAGTGGTAGTAAGCACTAGGTTCTGTTGAGGGCTACAGAAGTCATCCATGCCAAAGGGACTTTTCACCCACTTGCATTATGCAACTCAGACTTTCAGGGTTAAGTATGAAGTTTGAGCTTGCTTATTAAAGCTTTCACTTGGTGCAAATCCTTTGAGATAAATAGGAGCAAAGCTTCAAATTGTTTTAGTGGGATTTATGTCCTTTTAAAAGGTGGAGAACCTAGCTGTGAAAAAAAACCCTTGTTCAGAGGCCCTTATCTTAACACTCTAATGCAGTAAAAAACACATTATTTTAAGTGTGCAGCTAGTGAGTCACATAAACTCTTAGTCAGCAAGGCTTCATGACAGTGATGGAAAGAGTAGCAGCAATGAACCTGCTGACTGTGTGCAGTCAGTGGTTATTAATCGTGTTTTGCAGAAGTCTTGCATTTCTGGCAGCTTCTTTACTGCAGAATGCAGGGTGCAGTTTCTCCATGCACTTGCCAATACCTACTCTCAGATTCTGTCAGTGGTTTTGATTTTAATGACAGCTAAATCTGGGAGGAGAAGGAGACATGGCTGTATGAACAGAGGAGAAAAAGTGGTGCAAGGCTGAATGCTGAGATTTCTGTAAAACAAACTTGGAGAGGAAATACAGTCCTAATTTTCTAAAGAAGTGACAAAGCTGACATGAAAGAGACCAAACATGATTATAGGTAAAAGGTCTAATAAAGTTTTACTGAAGGACATGTTTATTTTGCCTGTGACCAGTGCCAACTCTCTAGCCTAGCCCATGCCTAGCACAGATGAATTACTTTTGCTGTTCTGTATCTGTTTTATTATAGCCTGGTGAATATTTCAATTACACATAAAATCTCTCCTATTACTGCAAGCAGTAATTCTCATTTATTTCAGGTCCATATTTAAACCCTTTATTTTTGTTGATGATGTAAAATTAGTACCAAAGGTACAGTCACCTTCTTTCGGCAATGATGATCCTGCTAAAAAGATACCTCGATTCCAAGAGAAACCTGATCGCAGGCATGAATTGTACAAGGCACATGAGTGGGCTCGATCTCTCCTTGAGAATGATCAGGTAAGAACTGTGGGACCTGGAATTAAAGTAAATGTACATTCCTAACTCCATAATTTACTTCAGAATCATTCACTGAAACGCATTCTCAGAATCCTTGCATGTTTAGCTTGAATAGTGATGCTCTCTGAAGGACAAACTATTCTGCATGGTGGGTTTTCTGGTCATCCAGAAAGTGTTGTTCTGCTCCATTACTTTTACAAAGTGAAAAGTCAAACTGAGAAGCTGATGAGTTTGTTCAGCCTCCACTGTGTTTGTAGTCCTTTTTAAGTGATTATTGAACACTGGATGCTAGTGCAACATGGTATCAGCATTACATACTAGGACGATGGCAGGAATGTGATAATTTAAATTACATGGTGGGTTAAGAACTACGTAGTTGGAGGTTTTGGGGCCTTTTAAGAACTAATTTTCATATGACAGTTTTTAAGTCTTGATCTAATGCATTTCTGTTTATTTGTAAGAGCTAATCGAAAAAGCTATGCAAGAAAAAAGGATGCTTTTCGGTGCCATGCAAGAGGTACCTGAGCGCTGAAAACTTTTCAGTGTAGAAATCTGAAGTGTTAAAAATCTCTTATGGGAATAAATAAAGGCAGGAAGGGAATTATTCTGTACAGCTTTTCCAGCTGATTGAGATAACAGGTTTTGCTGTCATGGTGCAAGTAGTTTGATAACTGTTCTTTGACATTTGTAATTACAGCTACAGCAGTAAACTGGGTAACCGGTTATAAAGAAGTTTATCAGAGGGAGAGATCACCAGGGCATGCCACTCACACTTATATTGGTATTTTGGGCAATTTCTGGCAGACCCACATAGTCATGTTGGATTTGATTTTCTGAAGTTTTCATCTGTGTTTGTTTGCGTTAACTCAGAGTCTTGCTAAGATCGTAACAGCATTCGGAGTTGCTCATTAGTGATTAAGGAAACCATGATAATCTTTGCTAGTACAAACTTTATTTAAATGCAGTTTTGGCTAGATGTGGTTTTTAATCCCTCAGAATGGTTTATTTTAAAGCCTCTGGTCTCTGGTAATGTCAACTCTATATGCTGGATAAAACAAAATGACTCTTTAGGAGAGAACTTCTTGCCTAGAAACATGAAGAGCAGTATGCCAGAATGGCACGCAAAGCCTTTCCTGGGACCTGGAGTCTTAATGCTGCTACATTACACATAATTTCAGATTTAATCATCATCTTCCAGGTGATGATCTGAGGAATACGCATATACATACTATGATCTGTACATTCCTACCTCTACTCTTCTGACATAGTTCTGTTTGCAGGTTTACAGGCTTAATAAGTTGCTTTACTTCTTTCTCATGTGTACAAGCATTACAGCATTTTCCTCAGTCCATCTCTCATTCCATCTGCCTTCTCTGCTTTAAACGCAGCAACTCCTTTTTGGTTATTTTTCTTAATGCATAAGGTGTCTAGCACTGTTCCTTTTAGCTTTTAACCATAAAAAAAACAACACCTGTTCACTGGAATAATTTGCACTTAAAAAGATTTTCTCATTTTTAAAAATACTTGAAAAGATCTCCATAATAGAACAGTAAAATGCTTTAATGAGTCTGTTTCCTGGTTAATTAAGTTTGGTTGTTTCATGCCCGTAGGATAAAGGCCAGAAACTGATGAGGATTATGTTAGACCTTGAAAGACAAGGGTTAGAAGCAATGGAAGATATCCTCACCCGTGCAGAGGTTCTGGATCCTGATGAAGTAGTGGATCTTTTCTATGACTGTGTTGACACAGAACTAAAGTTCTTCAAGTAAAGTAAGCAAACACTTCCAATTCTTTAGATACTGAGTTTCTGCTGCCAGGTACCAGTGAATGTGAAATGTTGGATTCGTTTCCTATCCTCCTCCTTCCTTCTCTTTAGCACTAAGCTAAGAGTGTTCAGAATCAGGTCCAAAGCCACCTTTCTACCTCAATGCATCTGCCCACATTGTCTCTGGAGTTCCTTTTCCCTGTGTTGCATTGCAGGCAGTTTTTATTTTTCTCAATTTCACTCTTGCTTGGAATGGATTTTAAATGAATTTTATCTCATTTCAGCTACGGTGGCTATTGCTAGCCTTTTCACTGGAAGACTGCAAAGTTCTTCAGGCCTTGAAAGAAAGTCTTTACACCTGTGAATTTGCAGGAAAACATTTCTAGAGGAAAAAAAATGTTACTTGCTAGCTGTATCCAGTTAACAAATTGCTTTTCTTTGTCCAATCTTGTGCTGTTCCTGTTTGTGTATGTATATAGTGAAAGGAGAAAGTCACTGACTGGTCCAATTACTTTGTGCATGCTGGCTAATTTAGTACAGAATGTTTAAATATGTATGTTGGGCAGCCAATTAAAGCAAAGATTAACTTCATCAGGCTAACTGCCATATTGTCATTGAAAGCAATCTGGTTTGCCTCCGTTGCTCAGGACTAAGCTTGCAGCAAAGCTGACTCGCGTTTTCCTCTTGCTGATTCGTACAGTGAATGGTAGAGTTGAAATCCCAGTTGTGTGGGGGCAGGAAGGTAAGTCCTGGTTTTTGACCTTGCTGTACTGGCCTCAGATGGGTATACCTGGTTACAGTAGCTCTGCTTCTGACACTATGCCTGTACAAATGAGCAGAATTAGGTCCCCTGGGTTAACTTTTGCCTTCACCTCCACCCAACTTAAGGAAGCTTGTGTTTGTAATGCACCTGGCTGCTGCTGTAGTGCTGAGCACTGAAATGCAGAGCCAGCCTGGGTGCTTAAGACGTCTGTATGTAACCTATTGGCTCTTAAGGTGCAATTAATGAGATGTCATATTTATATACAAGCTACAAATTGGGAACTTTTTTAGGGAATAGATGCTGGGCATTGATCAGTAACACTTGACTATTCTCTATCTTTCTGCTTTTATACAGTTCTCATAATCTCTGTGGTGCATATACATGGCTGGTGAATCCAGTGAGTTACTGGTGGTTGTGGCAGTCCAGCTGGTTAGGCTTAGAAATGTCTGTCTTACGCTTCCTTATGATAAGTGTGATTCTGCAGCATGCTTCCCTTCCTTGACAGTCCTGCAGACAGAACTGCTTTTCATGTGTTTCCCTCTTGTAGAAATGAGATAGGGCAAACAGTTTTAAGAATTAAACCAATGACCACTGTTTCCTGTCATGCGAAGATGGATTTTTATTTTTTTTTTAACAGGAGGTTCAGACAAGAATTCCACATCTTTGATAAGTGGAAGTTAGCTTATGGCATTAAAGTCCTTCACTGTTCAGGGAAGGGGATTGTGAAGAACCATGGATTACTCTACTGAGGAAATAAAAGCTCCTTAGGAGGCAGCAACGCCTCAACTTGTTACTGTGAGAGCTGTGCATTCGGGAAACAGTCATTGCCATATTGGCACATTTAGTTCTCAGAAGTTTTTGGAATGAAATTGTTCCGTTCAGACTCATTGCTTTGGTGCTGCCTTACCTGACAACTGGCAATTGGACAAGAAAACATTGAGCCTTCTCACTTAGGAAAAACAAGCAGGAAGATACTTTCTCTTACGGCTTGCCTAATAATCTCCCACTCACAATTCACTCTTCCCACCCTCTCTACTGCAGGAGCAACTCCTGTGTTTTGGGTATTATGAAAATGGAGAAGGAGAAAATAGGCAAGGTAACCCTAAAATTAAGCTTCTATCTGCCTAGCCAGAATAGGGTCTGCAAGGGCCATGCTTCATTTCCGAATGTGTTGTGCTATATGCACACTGCCCACTGAAGTAAATGGATTTCTGATGAAATCCACTTTTGGAATTAAAGGCTGCTTCAAATGAAAATACTCCTAGTCAGAGTACATCTAACACATACCATATTGAACTTAATAGCTGCTTCTTTAAACTGTTGCTTGCTGTGCACTTTACGTCCTGATAGGAGTCGCTAGATGTTTGTGAACAAGGGGAGAACAGGGATAAAATGACTGACCCATCCAGAGGGCTCAGATCAGGATACACCACATCACACAGCTCTTTTGCACAACTTGGATCTGCAACCTTTGGCAGGTGGGAGGGAGGCAAGATGGAAGAATGTGTTCCTGCTAAAACCATAATATATCTTATTTGCTTGTTTCTTAAGAGAGAAGAAACCAACGTTTGCAATTATCTTGTGGGAATTTATGTCCTTATTTGGAACTGCTTATGTCAGAACTAATAAATTGTTTTGAGCACAGTGATGCAGGTGCTAATTTTCTAGTAGTATGTTGCTTTTGCTTCAGCCACCACTGGTTCTACAAGTTTGAGAAACCAGAGCACTCCCATAGCCTTAAAACTACCAGTAGTTTTGAGTGCAGCAGTGGCTTAGTGGAAGGACAGAGTGGGACTACTGGGAGTGACTGTTGCTGTGATTCTCTGTATCTCCAGGTTATAGCAACTTAGAAGCTTTAGTGGATCTTGAACAACAATCTAGTATATAAGGGAATAACATTTCACCAATGCTTCCAAATATGCACAGGCTTTCTGATTTAATCCCTAAAAGATGATGTTTGCATCTAATCGTAATAAAAACAGGAGTAAATTTTTTTTCTCCTTTAGTTTTCTCCTGGCAGGTCATCTAGCATTAAGGAGTTGTAAAATCCTCATGATGGTACTTATTACAGAGCAGTACACAAGTTTCAGAACAAATGAGAACCAACAATAAGTCACCTTTAATAGTACTATAACAAAATATTCATCAAAGCAGTAATAAATGGTTCTGGGTGTTTGAGCAGCAGTGTATGTGCTGGCCCCTGCTTATTACTATATGCATGCATATTTATCCAGTAACTATAATAATGAGAGCGACAATAAGTATTGATCAAAGCATCACTTTTTCTTTTCACATGATGTACAGTAAGGTATCATAATAGGCTAGGAAAAGACTAATGATGCTTTCTTAGAGGCCTGCAGGTGAAGAGCTGCTTACCCTTACACCATCTCCACCCTATGAGCATGCACATATATGTAAGAGATGGAGCACAGATGAGCTGCCACAAGAACTAAGAGAAAAGCAGAGATATGTGAAGACAGTTACCTGTCTTTTCCCAGTAGTTTTGTTCAAAGGCATGGCCACAGGGAATATCTTTACCTGTGATCTGTAATGTTATTACAGTTGTAACTGAGGGGAATTTATAGCAATTATATAAATTAATTCCATAACTGTAAATAGCCTGACTGCTAGCACCAGGCTCACCCTGGAACAGCAATGCCCTTTTAAGGCTTGTGAATCATAATTGTTTAGATAGGAAAAGAGCTTTAAAATCATCAAGTCTGTTAACCAGCACTGCCAGGTCTCACACTAAACCATGTCCCTGGGTGCCACATCTGCACCTCTTTTGAGTACAGTCACTTCCCTGGGGAGCCTATTACAATACCCTTTCAGTGAAGAAATTTTTCCTAATATCCAGTCTAAACCTCCCCTGATGCGGCTTGAGGCTATTTCCTCTTGTCCTGTTGATTGTTACTTGGGAGAAGAGACCGACCCGCACCTCACTACAACCTCCTTTCAGGTAGTTGTAGGGAGTGATAAGGTGTGTCGTGTCCCCCCCGCCTTCTCTTGTCCAGACTAAACAACCCCAGTTCTCTCACCTATTCCTCATCAGACTTGTGCTCCAGACCCTTCGTCAGCTTCATTGCCCTTCTATGGACCCACTCCAGCACTTCAGTTTCTTTCTTGTAGTGAGGGGCCCAAACCTGAACATGTTATTCAGGGTGCAGCCTGACCAGGACCAAGTAAACTTCCAGCCACAGCCACTCTTCCCCAAGCCTGCATGGGGTTGTTGTAACCCAAGTGCAGCAACTTCTGTAAGAAGGGGAATCAAAGAATGGTTGAGGATGGAAGGGATGGCTGGAGGTCATCTGATCCAACCCTCCTGCTCAAGCAGGGTCACCTAGAGCAGGCAGCCGAGGACTTTGTCCAAATGGCTTTTGAGTATTTCCAAGGATGAAGACTCCAGAGCCAGTGCTCAGTCACCCTCACGATCACAAAGTGTTTCCCGATGTTCAGGCAGAGCCTCCTGTGTTTCAATTTTGTGCCCATTGCCTCTGGTCCTGCCACTTGGCACCACTGAAAATAGCCTGGATTCACCTTTATACTTTCCCTTCAGGTATTTATGCACTTTGATGAGATTCTCCTGAGCCTTCTCCAGGTTAAACAGTCCCAGCTCTCTCAGCCTTTCCTCATAGGAGAGATGCTCCAATCCCTGCATCACCTTAGTGCCCTTTGTAGGACTTTCTCCAGCATGTCCATATCTCTTGTACTGAGGAGCCCAGAACTGAACACAGAAGTTCAGATGTGGTCTCACCAGTGCTGAGTGAAGGGTAAGGATCACTGCCTTTAAGCTGCTGGCAGCACTCCTCCTAAGGCAGTGAAATGCACAACAGTAATTTGTGCTGGGAATAGATCTCTTTTGACCAGACCTGAACATCTGTGATCCAAAGACCTTACCCCAGGCTGCATATGAAAAGCAGAAGCTCATGTTTTTGCACTAGGTTGTTACCTTTTTTCAGCCAACTCTGTTCTTGGGGAGTGCTTGCTCCACATGGTGTATTTTGGACAATGAATCCTCACTGCCTTGTGTGAACAATAGTAGCTCTAGTTGCCTGTTTAAAATGTAGGCTTTGGACCACTCATCCAAAGGCCTCCTAATTGCTGGGTAAAGACAATCCCTCACACAAAATGGTAAATAACCACTTGGCCAGCTGGAAAATACAGGACACTTGCCCTTACATACATACTTCATGGCATGTGTATTCACACACACCATTGGGTTTTTTATTTTTTGCTTACAGTAGAACAACTTCTCTTTTCTTCCAGTTTGGAAAAGTTCCATCTTCCTTCTCAAGTCAAGTTCATGACCACCCTACCCAGCTGGGCTTCTTCAGACATTATCCTATAAGGATCTGTACTCAATAGGAGGTAGGCTCAACAGCAGCCACAGCTCCTGGTCATCTCTGTCCTCTTCATGCTTGATGAGAAGAGGATTATGGGCCCATCTGTTCATGAAAGTGACATTCTGCTGCAATCTGAGGGTAGGCAGAATGGAAGAAATAAAGGACCATACAGAGATTAAAGGTAGCACGTTAGTTTCTGGCAGTTCATTGAAAAGTGGCTGAATAATAACTGGAGAATTTCCAAGATACTTTAAAATTATGATGGAAGGGGAAAAATTAACTCCAGGCATGTAATGCAAAAAAGTATCCTGAGGTAACATGTCAGCATGATTGAGAATTGTTTCAACACTACAAAGAATTTCAATTTTATGCTGCTTTGCTTAAAAAATATCCACCTATATACAGTAATTTAAAAGCCAGTACTAACACTCCTGTAGGCTGTAGTCCAGTTCAAAAAGCATCATATACATTGCTGTTCCAGTCTATAGAATGTTAACAGTGCAGCACTTGCAATTCAAATACAATCCTTATCACTGTAGTGGGAACCCCTCTGTTTCAGATATTATCTTGATGTTCTTTTTTGAATACTAATCCAGAGAGCATCAAAAGACTCTTCTCATCTAACGTGTGTTCTTAATGGAGGATTTTTGGAGGGATCTGTAAATAGATAGGAGAGGTTTAATCAGAGGAGATAGATACATTTTTGGGGTATGTATTTTGGACACAGTTCTACAGCAGGGATGCTGCATTTATGTCTAATCCTTGAACTGATACATATCGATATATATATATAAAAACAGACATATATTGCTTATGCTCTGTAGCCCTTCAGTGAAAAGTCTCTGATCTGATCATACAGCAGACAATTTAGACTGACAGAGGCTGCTATGAAAAGTCATGCAAAGTACCTTGACATGGAAAGAGAAAAATCCCCTTCAACTTTAAAGTCAAAGTAAATAGTTGGAGCTAACAATATGGAAATGGCGGGGGTTTATAAAAAGCAGAATATAGGCATGAGATCTTTCAGCACCTTTAACTACCAGTTTTCAAAGCTGGATAGGTGAACTTCTGCTCTTACCACAGTGACCTGATAGCCAGTTTTTAATTAAAGGAGAAGCAAGGTTCAATCATTCATTACTTTCCCAACAAGGCTCAGGAACTAAGTCCTTTTGTTACTCAGGTATGTAAAACACCATGTGCAGGATTTAACTCAAAACACATGATGGAAGACACTGATCAAGTCACCTTTCTTTTGTGATTTTACAAGTTTGTGAACCAAAAAACCCAATTCAGTATCTGCCTAAGTCTGCTTATGTGACACCACTGTTCTTAACATTAAGGGCTCTGCAAATTCAGCACTCCACAGAACACAGCCTGCATGTAAAGCCACAAGATTTTATTTTTAGCTCCTAAGACTTTAATTAATTAAGAGCTTTTCATTATATCTTTGGTCCCTGCTACCACTGTAACAAATCCCATTACTCTCTGTGCCTATGCTGGCAGCCCAATTCTTCAAGTTAATGCTGCTTTCTGTTCTTTATTTTCACTCCCTGCTTCTAGTCTTACTGGATAATTATCAGATATCCTCCTGTTTACACACTTACCTCTAGCTATCTTGCTGGGATAGATTTTCTGAAATGGCTTGAATTCGTCAGGTGGGGGAAAATCTTCCACAGAATGGAAAGTAAACTTAGATTCAAAGTCATCTGGGAAGTTTCAGAGAAATAGACATCAATCACTGTTAGAGACAGACTTAAAAACAATAATAGAAATGCCACAAGTCATTTCAATTTACAATGCTGACTTGCTTTCCCCTGAATTGATAGCGGCTCATTCTGTATAACCAATCTTGGTGAGTACTTCTGTGAGCCATCCAAGTTTTCTGGCTTAATTGCAAATACTGCCTGCTACTAACTGAAGTTAAGCTCCTGGCTGCAGTTGCAGTTTCCTGCATTGATGATATTGTGGTATAGAGGTAATTCCTAGGCGGTTTTCAAGCCATTTAGCTGTGAATGAATGGCCAGTTCATTAGACCACAAAAATAATTCTGTGCAGTCTTTGCTCTATAGTATCGAAGCTGCTAAATACCCACAAACTGGTTTTAAGAATAGTAATATAAGGACATTATGGCAACTTTTCACAGTCTTAAATAATTCTGCAGGTAGCTCATGCTTTTCTCATCTACTGGATGATTCAAAGCCTGCATGTTTTCTCTCATTATATAAGGTTGTACAAAAATGTTTCTAATGGCTCTGGCTATACGACCCTGTTAATGCTGTAAGAAAGTCTTGACTGACTTTCTGAGGTCTGAGACACACAGGCTTTTGTACTGAAGTTGTTAACTAAGGCTAAGAGATCTAATTTAGAGGATATTACCGATGATGTGCATGTTTCCATTTTTAAGTGGTGGGTAGGGGTCATGAGCTGCAGCCCAGGCTGAGACTCCAGGCTTGCTGGTAAGCTCAGTTGTAGGTGACCTTGCTGGTGGCTGTGGAGGTGTGGCTAGCTTCCCAGCACCAGTTCCTGAAAAAGCAGTAGCAGACCAGTGCATAAACATCATCGTGACTTAACAAAGCGAGCATAAGCTTTGCAGAAGAGGAGGGGAAGTGTAGAAGGAACACAACACTTCATAGCTGTTGTTTGTCAAGCCTGACCATGGATTTAGAGCATGAAGTATTAAAGTCACTGTGCTAGTTCTAGTTCTAAGGAAAGTCCAACATTCTGCAGTATGGTTTAGTCCTGTTTGGAGGCGAAGACTATCATTCCACTTTCACAAGAAGAAGCAGTTCTTAATGAAACAATGCAGTTTTTCATGAAAAAAAACAACAAACCCAAGCCAATCCAACCATGCTGAATGGTATTTCTAAAAGAAAACAATTTCCTGACACCCTGGCAGCCATACTACCATTGTTCTTGTGCATTTCACTGACCAGTTGCAAGAGCCATCAAAGTTTGTATTTTCTGGGCACACCTACCACGGGCACTGTGTAAGGGGGAAGGAGCCCAAGGCCTCTCCAACCTGCTGCTCCCCCTGGGCAGCCAGGAGACAGGCAGGCTAATTTGATGGAAACCTTGACAGTTGAGCCACTATGTGGTACAGATAGCTCAATAAAATAATGGCTCATCAGACAGTTCCTGAGCAGCATTAACCCCCATCAGGAAGCCTCTGACCTGCACACAGCCTTTCCCAGGGCTGTCAAAGGGAACCAGTAATCTCTCCCTCCACATATGGCTGCTGAAGCACGGGGTACAGAACATTCTGCTCAGATGTGCCTTATTAAGGCTCTGTCTCCTTTTCTCAAACCCACACAGATCTAGCCTCATATTTTTTTAAATTATCTTCATTAGATCAGAGAAGTCTGATCAATGCCCTCCATCTGCTCAAGGGCACACTCCAGCTCATATCCCTGCTCCCAAGTAGTCAGAGAAACCTTTGGCCCCATTGCCTTCATCACAGGAGGCACTGCCTGCTCCTCTGCTGAAAAGCAGAGGACTGCACCTATGTTGCCTTCGCTCATCTATGGCTGGAGCTGCCCCATCTGTTTTGGTCTCTCCTGTGACATTCCCTGCCATTGCCGATACTGCTCCAGACTGCAGGGGTACAGCACTAGATGGATGTCATGGCTAGGCTGGTGCTTGAGCAACTGCAGATGGGGCAGACACGGTGGTGTGCACTCCACTGCCCTACCTAAGAGTGTCAGGAGACTGCTGGAGATGCAGCAATGCCAACACAAAGGCAAGAAGCAGCCCAGCGGTCCTCAGACGTTGCTTTCACTGATCAGCATGTTGCTTCCAGGAATCACAGTTAAACTACATGGCACATGTGCCCAGGGCTAAGAAGAACCTGATGTCTCGCATGCACGCCATGCAAGCTACCGGTGTTCCTCCCATGCCATAGACCTCATCTTTCAGCTGTCCCAGCTCCTCACCTCACCACCCCTCCAAGCTCCCCACCCACCAGTGCAATTCCATGACTGGCCAAAGGGAAGGAAAAGCCCTGCTATCTTCCATCATTCCAGCATGCCGCTCTCACCTGCGCCTCGGCCGGGCCTCTTCTTCCTGGTCTCGGGTGGTGCTACGGGCTGATGGAGGCTGGGGGTGGGCGGGAGCGGCAAGGACTGGATGCTGCTTGGCTTGTGGAGCTGGGACAGCAGGTTGGGAGACTTGGGGGGCAGCGGCGGGGGCACGTCAGCGCTGCCCGGAGCGCTGTTGAAGGCTGGGGAGGGCGGGAAGGAGAGCCTGTTGGGGGTAAGGGGGTGCGCGTGGGGCGGAGGGGGAGGCGGGGTGGGGGGCAGACAATCCCTGCCTTCAGCTGGGGTGGGAGCAGCAGCCGAGACATCGGTTGTCCTGCTTGGAAAGCCGCAGGGGGGCACAAAGGGCAGGGGAGGGGGGGGAGGAGGAGGAGGGGGTGGTGCATGTGGAGCACCTGCCTGCGGCTTAGTGAGTTTGTCAGGCTGAGGAGGGGCCGCGCTGGGGGGCACCCCCTTGGGAGGGCGCTCTGCTGGGGGGGGCACAGCGGGAGGAGGGGGGAAGGTGAGGGAGGGTTTGCCGGAAGCAGGAGGCGGTGGAGGGGGGGCCGGCAGGCTGGGCCGCCCGGGAACCGTGCCGGGTCCTCGAGGGGCGCTGGGGGGATCTGGTGGGGCAGCTGCCCTGGGGCCTTCGGTGGGATGCGGGGGGGCGCTGCTCGCCTTGGCAGCGCTGCTGTTCGGTGGGGCAGCGGGCTTGGGAACGGCGGGACGGAGCCCAGGGAGCTGCCCGGGCTTCCCGGCTGGAAAACAGGTAGCACGTTATACATTGGTCCTGCTCCTCAGGCCAAACACTGCACAGGGCAAGCTCTTCGTCTTCCCCTCCCTAGTGGTGACCCCGAGTGACTAATTCTCCCAAACCACCTCATAATCCAACATGTTGCCTCTGGTGTAATGGGGTTTAGGAGGTGGTGGCTTCCAGTGAGCACCAGGGACTCTGCTCTCCTCCCTGCTTGTCAGTTTCTGCAAAATGGATCAGTAAGAAGTGGCTTTTCTGCAGAGGCCTGGATCTTCATACCAGCCCCATGCGCCTGGTCCAGCCTGCTGAACGTGGATGGGCTGTCTTGCTTGAAGGAATTGAGGGTCCTAGCAAAAAGGCCTCAAAGAGCACAAGCAGACTGACATGCATCAGCTTGCACCCTTGAAGTGCTCACTTACGATTAAAAACTTCACACCAACTTTACATGACTCTCAATCCCACGGATAAAAGCCAAGGTCTTAAAAGCAGGGCCCAAAGGCTTCCCATAATGCACAGGTTCAGATGTTTCCTTTTCAGCAGCAAATGTCCAAAATGACCTCACAAAATGCATTTTGCTGATTAAATGTCAAGGATTTTTCACAAAGCAAGATGTGATAAAAGGCATCAATTCTATATTCACATAGTCTGATAGGCATGGTCATTGAAACTATTCAACAACACAGCAGCTACTGCAGCTGATGCTATATGAGGAAGCCCTAGCACAAGCAGTGCTGTGCATCCTGGGTTTGCCTTCCAGGAAGAAACAAGCAACCCTGGATGTAGGAGCTGGGATCTGTCTTTCCGTGCACGTACCTGCTTTGCTCTGTGCTGCCTGAGCAGGCACCAGCTGCCCAGCAGTGCCAGGGGCCATTGCCTGCCACTCTACAAGTCACCCCTCACTGATGCTGGAGCTTCTTGAGGTGAAAGCAGCATTAGGGCTCCCAGACATGCCTCCCTCCTGCCTTTGTGAAGCAAGAACCTTCTCTGTCAGGTCAGTAAGCTACCTTTCTGGCTCAAAGCTGTGCTTTATAAAAGCCAGAGGGCAAAAATCTTAAATGCAGATCTTTAAAGTAACGCACAAGCCTGTAATAACATAGAAATGCACACTAATGGAAGGAGGGAAATAGGACTGCTTTACCATTTATGCTGAAGTTGATAAGCTCGGATTTCAATACTCTATTCGAGGCACAGTTAGAAGTTTTCATTAAACTAATATAAAAAGTCTCAGAACTCTGTACAATCTATTCAATCTCCTACCCCATGTAGAGACAGCTCATTATTTGTGCTTTAAGGAATAAGGCAGCTGAGGTCTAGAAAGATGATTTTTAGCACATTATTAATTGAGCCTTCCAGGGGTACATGATGAATTAAGGGTTCAGAAAAAGCCCCAATAGAAATCAATCAATAAATCTCACACCAAAGCACTTATACCCCAAATCACACTTCCCCCCAGCTATTCTTAGATACAAATGAAGCCCTTACCTGACATGTCCCTCTGGCCTGCTGGTCTGAGGACAGGAAAGCCACCTGCAAATAAGCCTCCCAGGGGCTGCTGAGGGCCACTTTTGTTAACAGCTGGGTTAACTCCATCTCTGTTAGTTCCTTTGGGTTCTGTTAAAAAGAACAAAAATACCCAGGGTATATCAGGAAGTCACTTCATCCTCACACTGCTAAACTTGGCACCAAACATAGGCAAGGCCAGACTTTTACCTCTTTAAGCACTCAGCAAGGAAAGTTACTGGTAATACAATAAACTGCCATTAATTACTCTCTGACCCATATCTTGGAGAAAGTACTGTTTGGTGCTTTTTAATCTCACATCAGTAATGACACCAGAAAAGTTGTGTTAGCCAACATTACATTTATGCTTCCAGATTTCCTTGGTATTTTTTTGTTCTTATTAGTAAAGAGCAACATTTCTGCTGGAGCCAGCAATTCCCACTTAAACATTTTATTGAGAAACTCTCAAAGATTTCATCATTTGTGTTTTTTTTGGGATGAGGAATCGCTGTTGAGGTGATCAGTTACAGAGCTATTATGAAGTGTTGATAGTTACTGATCTTTGAGCAGGATGCACATTTAGAAAGTGTCCCCTCTCTGCACCCTAAAGCCCTGTGAAGACGCAGCCCTTTGCTGAACTTCAGACCTGCCCTTCAGTTTGAACACCCTCCATCTGACCTGCACAACTGAAGGCAGCTCACCCAGGACCTTGCTCAGGAGCACACACTTACTCTCAATCTGTGGTGCGCTGCGGTCATTGATTTGAGTCACTTTTCTTAAGCGAGTTCCCTGCTGGATATCAGCTAAGAGTGCATTCCGTGCCTTTTGGTCTTCCTTTCGCAGCTTTGGTACCTCTGAACTTGCCTGTGAACAATAAGAGCATTAGATGGGAGGCACACACAGAAATGGGTGCTTCGAAAGGACACATAAGCAAACACAGAGTAGAATATTAGAAATAAACCATCCTTGGTAGCCATCAATTCAAGGCCTTTGTGTTGAATCAGCAAGAACAGGATGCAGTTGTACAGAAGGCAGGAAAGCTGAAAGTTCAACACAGAAACTTAAATAGGATAAGTTTAGATTGGCTATAAGGAAGAAGTTCTTTACTGTAAGGGTGGTGAGGCACTGGAATAGGCTGCCAAGGGAAGTTCTGAATGCTCCATCCCTGGCGGTGTTCAAGGCTAGGTTGGACAGAGCCTTGTGTGACACGGTTTAGTGGGAGGTGTCCCTGTCCATGCCAGGGGGGTTGGAACGTGAAGAATTAAACCAATGCATCTTCACTTGTTATTTTTGTACCTGACAAAACCAAACCAAAACCAAGCTAGCTTCGCAGAGCCCCACTAGATGGCACTCCAGGCCGCTGCTAATGCCCGCCGCATTCCTGACACCTGAGGTAAAACTCAGAATTAAAACCTGGCCGAGGCTGTAACCTATATTATTTTAAAATATTAGAACCCCCCCACACTATCGCACGGTTTCCTAATCTGAAGCAGCACTGCCTGCCCTTGTGCCCACGGGACAGCCTGTCCCACTGCCCATTAAGCCAGCCCAGAAGCTGCTAGTGCAGACAGCGTTAGACCAGCCAGGAACTCTTTCCACTCACATTTTCTGTAAGCTGACAATACTCACTGTGAGAAATGGAAATACCATAACTGCAAGAGGACGATTCCCCTTCTCACAAATCCTTTCTACCTGTGTCTTCAACTTCACACCTCTCTGCTCTCACTAGTGACTTTGCTGTATCAGGACAACCGAGATCCAGATGGATCTGATCAAGACTTGTTTAAAATTAGATCCAGCAGCTGTCTTTTTGTTTCCGGGTTCAAGTGTCCGTATATTATGCCAGCTGTCCACTTCATTTCCCTGATCCTCTTCTCTGAGCAGATAGGCTACTGGAACATGAAGTCTTCATATGCCAATAGCTATTAGGCTAAAATACCCAACATGTGACAGGTTGTATTCATGACTGACCCATGACTTGACATCACTGTAACATGGTTAAGAGATTAATTTGTTCACAATCTGTAGCATATGAAAACAGCAGCGCTATTCTGCAAGCCCATAATGGAGCAAACAAGATGCCTTTCTCTTTCAATAGATCCGCTTACTTCAAGCACAACTCCACCCCGTGCCCCAGCTGCTTCTTCTTCCCCCTTGTGTACGTGAGAGATACAATCTTCCGTGCCCAGCCTGGTGGACTCGGGTGATTGATTAGCTGCTGAGTAGCTTGATATGGATTCTCTTTTTCCATTACAAAGACAAGATGCTCTAGGTGTAGTGTTGCCTGGTTGCACAGCGATCAGAGTTCCTTCGGATTTGTTGCTTGCTGCCTGCACTCCCAAGGCCAGTGACAGTCCCTGTCAATAACCATTTTTCCAGGTAAGTCTCTTACCCATTCACCTACCAGTGTCCAGTGTTTGCAAACCCATGTTTTCACCATATTGCTTTGTGATACACAATCAGAAAGGAACCTTCCTCCTGTTGATTAAGAAATTAATCTGGGATGGCACTCATGCTATGCCTGCAATCCATAGCACAAGAACGGATACCAAACGTGTAAGTTGTGTATCAAGAGAAAAAAAGAGGAACTCTATGGGTGCCAAATCCTCAGTCCTAATCACATGCACTAGAAGCGTTTTAGCATGAACACAAGTACATTTTGAGTCACTGAGGAAATCCAGCTGCAAGACAAAAGATGTAATCCTGAGGCTGCTTTCTACCCTGCCATCTGCAGGGCAGCCACATTTATCTACACAAAGAGAAACATCTCAATCTTTCAGTGAAAATCAGGAGGGAAGAGGAGGAGAATGTGAAGATCAGTTGTTTTATCAGATGCCAGGGCTGCCTCAGGTAACACAGGGTGAAATTAAATTCCATACTTTATTTACATGAATTGGTTAGAGAACAACGGGTTCTCATTACCTTAGTAACCACTAGGTTATTCCGCTACTATTTCAGGCACAAAGAATGGCACATTCAATACATGCTTGGAAATAGAACAGATCAAACCACACATGTAAATAGCCTGGATGTAAGTGAACTCCTCCCTTTTCACCTCACAAGACTCCATTAGTTCTGTCTTCAGTGTCCTAAATTACATACTCAGCTTTGCCCTTGAGTAAGGTATAAGGTCAATGCTTGAGCATTGTACCTGTAAACAGGAAAATACCATCAAATCACAATATCTAGAGTGACATTCCAGAGTGTAAATCACCAGTGATGGAAATAAGCATTTCAAAATTTGCAGCTGATAACTGAGATTGGCAGAGAAAGGGATGAGGACAGCATGATTATACAGAGATCCAAACCACTGCAGCTCGGGGAGCTGAGAAAAAGGACAAATCAAAACATGTTCCCCCACCACTGAGGAAGAAAATAATGAGGGGAAAATGATAACAAAACCCCAGAAGATGCATAATACATAAATTTAAATCTGAAAATGGCTGGATGAAAAGTTCTGGCCATACATCTGAAAGGAAAGCCTGCATCCAGAGAGCCACAAGCCTGAACCTGGCAATGGGCTCCAGCAGCGTGCCAGACCTCCTAGCACAGTACTGTGGCAAGGAGGAATAGCACACCGCTCTGAGATGTTTCACCCTTTCAGAAAAGAACATGTGAGCAAAAATGAAATGACAGGTTCAGTTCTGGTCTGCAGATCTTTAAAATAACGTTGGAAAACTGGAGCTGCACAGGAAACAGCCAAAGTGATACTCAAATAGGATAGAGGAAACAGTTCAGGTTTTAGCAGCTCAGTGTGGTCCACCAGCCCCAAACTCTACCTGAGGGTGGTCTGCCTGCACAACACACTGACCTTCACAGGGAAATGCTGGTGAGGACTCAGCAGAGACAGGGATTTGGTGAATTAATGGAAGACACAGCCAGGGAAGCTCTGATGAGAAAGCAGCAAGTATGGGAGCAGTGAGACTGACAGTTCCCTGCAGCAAAGGGCTGCGGGTGGCAGCAGACTATCAGTTCCTTGGGCTTCAGATCAGGGCTGGATCCTCTCTTGCAGAAGTGGGTTTTGTGAAGCACAAGTCATTATGCCCCATGCAGAGCCACTTCCTGACATGCAGTACCTTGCAGTGGGTAGGAAGCCCATAGTTCATAACAGTTTCTTTCATTTACAAATTCTGTGAAAATGAATCATTTTGTTTAAGAGAACAGCTCTGTTTATGCTGTATATACAGACCACACAAGGTCTGGCTCTGATTAATCACAACCTTAACACCCCAAACTGGATTGTGTCAGGCAAATTACTTGCTGAGAGACTTTTGTTTTTAAGAAAAATGGACTGAAATCCACGGCAATGAGCTCCATTTCTGGCTGTATGACTGCTGAGGTACTTGCATCACCTTGGGAAAGTCACCTTACATCTTGCAAGGCAGACGGGAGCATCAACCTACCCTCTGGGCTCCCATGATACTTAAAATATTTAAGAGGTATACGTGCTCAGATACTAAACTGATGTAAATGCAGAAGGCACCAGGCATTTGAAGAAGTTTATAGTAGTGCTAACTATCATCTTTCAGATTTTAAAGAGCACCCCTGCAAACAGAGGAGGGGAAATCCTCTGGACTCCAGGCAGGTATTGCAGTTCACAGGTGCTGGCACAAGGCATAAGCAGCACGTATTTTGGTAAAAGAAGGGTTTGAGGATACCCGTTAACAAACCCTTGCCTTTGTATTAGTTTCTTTCTCTGCCATGCTTGGCCAAACCCACACAGACAGGGGCTGAGCCAAGGCATCTTCACCACTGCAGTGTGCAACACCCCAGGTTTGGCTTTTGAAGAAGGGAAAGACGTTGCAGCAAGATAAAGATGGGAATTGGAACCAGATGAGGGGGTTGGAATGAAATGACCTTGAAGTCCTTTCCAACACTAACCATTCTATGATTCTATGAAAGAAGGATGAACAGAAAGCTCTAGGGTGAGGGATACTGGATCACAGCACACTTTCATGGAAACAAGAGTTCCTGGGCCAGTGCTGGCCCTCCTTGGCATCCATGGCCCTCCTTGGCATCCAGTCCAACATGATTCAGATGACAAACTTACATTAAGAAATGCAGAAGTGTACAAACGTGGCAATGGACAATTAAAATCAGCATGTAGAACAGCAGACAGGGCAAAAGCAGCAACAATTGCATAGACAATATGGTCAGTAATGTGACAGTGCCAAGTCTGGCCAAAGAAATCATCCATCAATAGAGAGAGGCAACTGAAACACCTAAACCTTCATTCAAGGACCTGCAAACCGTCAAGGAAGATCCTGAACAACTGGAAATATAGTAAACGCCCCCGTCCAAATATTACTCCTATATTAACAATAAGTAGAATTCTGGTGTAGACATATCTAGATTGATCAGGAAAAAAGGTGAAGGTAGCTGTGTGACACTGTACATGAGTCATGTCAGAAGGAATATAGAGAGGAAAACACAGCTTGCTGGGGGTTGGTAAATCATCTGAGGAAGGATGATGGGTGTTCTCAGCACCCATATGGCACAGCAAGGCTCTCCAAGTAGGAGAGAACGGAGGGAGAGAGGATGACTGCGTCCCCATCCAGCCATAAGGCTCCAGCTCCTTTGAAGGAAAGCCAGGCACAGGGCTGGTGCTCATAACAGTCTTGGAGGGCACAGACATACAGTGAGGGTCCTTAAGGGGCAATGTCCAGCTAAAATACCCTTCTGGGAACACTGGTGATGAAAATGAGTGGACTAAGAACAGGGAAGACCTGCTTGCAAGCAACTTACTCTATAACTTCCTTCCACTTAGCCACAAGCTCCTGACCACAAATGCTCCATAAAGAAATCTCTAACCGTCAGGACTAATGTTTTTACATGAATTAAAGTCTTTAAAGATTGCACCCTTTTCCAAACAAGAACTAACAGCAAAAGAATACATTGACAGGAAGATGCCAGAACATTCTAACAAGCTACAATGTCATAATCTTTTAATATAATAATGAGGTTGTTTTGGAACAAGGTAGAATATGGAAGATGACCAGGAATCTCAAGGCCAGGTTGGATGAAGCCTTGGATGAGATGGTTTAGTGTGAGGTGTCCCTGCTCATGGCAGGGGGGTTGGAACTGGATGATCTTAAGGTCCTTTCCAACTCTAACTATTCTATGATTCTATGATTCTATGCTAGGTAGCCAGGATATCTTCCTTGACATTGCATAGGATTATAGAAGTCATCTATGCTTTTGTGGCCCAACATGAAATCTGAAACGCCAGAGGAACTTGTTTTCCCAAGGTGAAATTAATAGATTAGAATTATGCCAAGAATTCATGATTCTGTATATGCAGCAGCAGCAGTTTGCCCAGCAGGCAGGAGCATTGCTTTTACAATGAATTCTCAGAGCAGCAGCCAAAGCCTCCCCCGAGAATGTGCCTAGAAACGCAACTGCAACAGAAAGCTTATTAAAATAACAAAATAAACCCAGTTTCCAGGAAGTCACAAACAGAAGTACAATAGAGTATTGTCATCCCTCTTAAAGTTACTTTAAATATGCATCAGGTGTGGTTTCATGCATGTACTGTCAAATGCAAAGTAAAATAATCAAAACAGTCTCCCCATCCAGCTTAAGGAAAAACCCAACAAGTCTCAACAACAAAGCATGTGTCTGCTTTCATTTGAAGTATGTTAACCTGTTTGCTCATAAAGAAGCTTGTGAGATCTGGTACGTGAGAGTTTGGGTTCATCTCTTCACAATAGAACCCTGACCTCTGATTTAAAGCTTTTTAATGATGGGAAACCTTGCCACCTGCACAGTCAATCGCAACATCAGAGCTGCTTCTTGTGTTTCTGCTGTGTAGCATAGGATGAAACTAATTAATTCTTGGCACTTTGTCTACATGGTTAAACACGGCAGCCTCTCAGCCTTCGAGCAAGCTCAGCTTCAGACGCTTCCCATGCGAGCGGTCACCCTCCAGCCAACTTTTCTGAGGTAAACCATGCAAGGGGACCTGCCAAATAGCTTCCTGGCAGCCAATAAAGGCATTGTTTCAAGAGAATGACAGGACCAGCATTTCGCAATCCCATCTACACCCAGCTCAATAATGATTAACTGTGATCTCAGTCTCCATCGCACAAAGTTCTGCAATCTGAACCTGCCAGGTTGAAAAGGTCATCGAGCAATGTGTGTACTTAGATAGGCTGTGCCTACATTAGCCTTGTTCCTCAACTTCTAGCAAGGGAAGTGCCGTGCAGGAGTTGTTGCAGACCTCTTCCTGGGGTTTTAGCAGCCGCCTAGTCCTGGCATTAGTCCCAGATGCTGAGGCGTTTCAGTGTGAGCAGAGCCCAGTGCCTGCTCTGCTCTAGCATCGACCTGCTCGAAGTGTACCAGCAGAAACAGTGGCAGGAGCAAAAGATGACAGAATAGCATAGCAGGAGTTTCTCTCCTCTACACCTGCATTCCAGTGCTCATTTCAAACACCACTGTGCCCAATAAAGCCCGCTTCAATTTATGTTAGCATCACTCCATCAAACAATGTAAAATTTTGTCTAGTCAAAGGTTCCACCGGTCCTGTTAGTAATGGAGTAGTGGGCTTATTAACAAGGGTGTACCTCAAGTTCTCTAGTGTGGGTTCCTAAATTTCTGTGCCTGAATGAGAAGCACAACAGAAGCAATATGATGGTTTATACCAGCTGAGCCATTTGGCTTTTCTGTGGGTATTTAACCTTCTGACACACACATTTTAAATACAAATTCTGGCTGTTCTTTCACTAAAAGAAAGTATGCATTAACAGAAGCCATGAAAATGGGGGCAGTGTGAAATAAAAACTACTCTAGAAGTGTTTCCCAGCAGTTCAGAAAGATCCTAAGTCAGATACCAAAAATACTCTGAGACTGCCTTCAAAAATAAATCTGAATTTCACCTTTTGATTTCTGATTCCTTTTTTATTCAAATTCCCAAGTTTTCCTCTGCATTAATGACAACAGAAGTAAAAATTCTTGTATAAACAGGAAAACTGAGACCCTGGCATTGCAATGGAAAGATCATGCAGCACGAAGCTGAATATACTGTTGGGAGAGCTGGTGATGCTACCGCTGTTTGTTCTCTCTGTCTAGAAGTGGTGGGTCCCCACAATGACTACTTTGAGTATTGATAACAAAATAGTCAACATGTCACAACCTACATGTATCACAAATTGTATCACATTCTAAGAACAGTAGGGCATTTTCCCCACCCAGTTACCTGTATAGAAGCTACTGATCTTTCTGAAATGCCTTTCAACATCTATGCAAAATTGTGGTCAGCCCAAGATAGGAAAAGAGTGGTAAATAACATTTCTTGCAATGTCACCTTCTAGCCATGCAGGGGAAGTCCAACTCAAGTACTGCTATAATTCTGGGTTCTCTTTTAATTAAAAGGCTACAAGTGTAGCATTAATTGACAGATGGAATTTAATATGTGGCCACTGCGTATTGCTTTTCCAGGGCAATATTACCTTGTGGTTAGAATGGTAAATTAACCTATTAGCTCTCTGCAGCTAGGCTGCTTCTACTGCATGGGTTTGATCGTTTACACTGGTACCTCTGGGACATGCTGCAATTTCTATACTTTCATATGAAAATTATACACGTGAAAGCAAAAATAAGAAAAATATATTTAAATGCTTTCCATTCCATGCAGACATGAACAACACACAACATTATGAAGAAACCTGCAAAACTGAAATCACCACCTAAATACATTATAAATGTGCTCACCTCAGAGATCTCAAGTAAAGCATTCAAGATTAGCACATATGAACACACATGCTCTTATATCTGTCGACGTGAAACAGACAGAGCAATAGTAGTATTTAGGTTTTCTTTACACCTTCCAAACCTTTCCTATCTCTCACTTACCCCTCCTGCATTTGTTGACTACAAGAATAGAAGGCTAAAGCAGCAACACTTTAAGATGCCATAGCTAAGCAATCCCACACTTTCCACTACCTGAAAATTAAGTGACATAAACCACACAAAGGCACACCATTTTTTTCTGTATAATTGCCTCTCACTTCTTTATGACAGCAGACTGGTATGAGACGTGATACATTATTAAAACACTACAAACCAGTTTCCTTTATTTTAGCTGGAACAAAGCATTCTCAAAGATTTCAGCTGCACTTAGCCCAGCCCTTAGCACAGTCTTGCACGATGGCCAGTCATCAACAGGATGCACTCAATCTGCAATAAATATGATCTAGTATCTCCTGACTTAGGGAATTCATGACAAAGTACTAAATGTCATCTTACAGCTCACATTAAATTTTAATAAACACATTCCTTCATCTTTTGTAGTTTGCACTATGCATGATTCTGTTCTTCCAGTGTTATGCTTGCACATCTAAGGGTCTGAATGAAAACTGCAGAATTACCTTAATTTTCACAGTAAATGACTAGCAAGCATGCACACACATTATGCATGTACACTTACAAGCACACATTCTCTTATATTTGGTAAGACCAAATCAAAACACCATAAATCATCATTACCTTTAGCCAAGCTGTTTTGTATATGTTGTTTTTTCTTCTTCCAAACAACAGTAGTGCTAAATGTCATGGGGGCAAGCCCAGCTCCCACAAACTTCAGATAAGTACTGCAGCTCTGAATTTGTTCGGAAGGCTGAAGGAAACAGCTCAACAAGGTTTACACTCTGACAACTGTGTGGAGGAGCAGAAAAGAGCATTCCCCCAAGGAAAACTAGCAGTTGATGTTTTTCTTAACCTTGGAAATCCACCTCTGTAAATTGTACATTTATTGTAGTGTTATACCATGAGGAATTGCTTTTCTGAGGGGTAGAAAATAAGGTCAGGATAATGTGGTAAACCCTGTTTATCTACATATGTTTGTCTACATAGGTTTATCTTTTTATTTTTGTTTATTTTAGACTACATAAGAGTGAGGTAGTCGTTAAGATTCATGCACGTGCCATCCAGCATTCAGTATTA